GCGACGCAGGCGCGGCCGTTCCCGCTGCGCGCGTTGAAAAGAAGCGAAGCAAACCATGAATGTGACACCTCAGAACTTCTGGAAGAAAGCCATTATTGCGTTCCCTTCGGCGGACGCGGCCGAGCGCACCTTGATGACGTTTCGGGCGCACTTCCCTGACGGTTTCGAGTGTCCAGATCCCGAAGGTCCCCAATACGCCCCGTTTGGAGCCTCTCCGCGATGTTGGGACGAAGAAGCGGTCGACAGTTTTGGGCACGGTCCGTGGTGAGCTCGAAGAAGTCGCGAAGGCGTCTCCCGCTCTGAATGACTGGTCCATCGATTCTTCGGCCAGCAATGGGTTCATCTTTGCGTCGAATGCCGTCTCGGGTGACGCGGCGAAACTCTACCACGTCTCCAAGCTTGCCGCTCCGTCCGACATGCCGCGCGCGATTGCGTTCGCGCGCCGCTTCGCTCGAATCTGTCTCGGCGCCAAGCATCAGTCAGTTGTGGATAAGGTGATGGGCAAGTTGAGTCTTTGACGACTCCGAGTCCAGCATCCGAGGGTACCCCGTCTGGGGCTGGGCGGCCCACGCAAGACATCGCCTTGCTCCTGCGCGCGGGCCAATTTAGCGAGGTGCAATTCGTTATCGGGAAGATCGGGGCGGCGCGACCCCTCCCCTTCCTGCCGGAGAAACCTCTATCAATCGCCGCGTGGAATGCGAGGGGGTTGTTTGGAAGCGCTAGCAGAACGAAGGATCACGTCTGCACTCGTCGGCACATCTTCACGGAGCTGCTTAAGACTTAAGAAGCGCCAGATTGCGTGCATCCAAGAGTCCCATGGGCACTCCGGGGATGCGGTTGCCCCTGAGAAGGAGTTCCCTTCGCGCAAATTGCTCCTGGATGCTCACCCTGATTTCGCTCATGGGCATGGGGTCTTGGTCTGTGTCGGCGCCGCCTTAGTGGGCATGGTTTCGGGCTTCGCTCTCAAGTCTCTGATTCCTGGCAAGGCGTCGCATGTGGCAGGACGGGGAGAGGCTGGTCTGTTGGGGTCGTCTCTGTCCACGTGCCAAATGTCGACGCAGGGGTTGGTTACGATCGTCAGTGTCTCTCTGTTGCGCGCCCCGCTCAACTTCCATCCTCTGCTGCTTCTCCAATCTTGAGAAAAGGGCTGCCAGCCGCGGGGGCACTGCCTTCTCTCGCGAAGGGAATGAGCCTTTTGGCGGCTGGATTGAACTGCATCAGCCACAGGATACCCGACATGCTTGCTCTGGTCCGAAGATGGTCTCTACCGCTCGTCTCGACCGCGTTCACGTGGATATCCTTCCCGCTGTCCCCATGGATCTTGTGGTCACCGGTTCGACGATAGGCATGCCCACTGACTTGAAGAATCCTTCAGATCACGTCCCAGCTGTGGCTGCGCTCACCGAGACCGCGGCTACTGGATGGCCCTCCCCCCATGCCTTCCTGGGCCCCGTCAACGTCTGAATTCCAGGAGCGTCTGACTGACCACCTGCAGGGGGCTGGTCCTGGGCCCCCCATTCTGGCTCGACTGTCCCGCACGAAAGACACCACGCACGAAGCACATGCCGAGATCTGGAAAGTTCTGCGGCACCGCGAAGCCAAGTCTCCTCATGAGTTTCTTCACTGGCATTTTGCCGCTCTTCGTTCCGTCCGCGCTGGCGCGCAGCATCTTGTTGCGCGTGTTGTTCACTTGCCCGCGCCTCTCCGCCTTCTTTGAAAATGACGCCGGCGCACTCTATAACCCCGCGGGGCTGCACGTGCACATTGCTGCTCGGGGAGGCGCGCGGCAAGCGAGCGACCTCCCCGAGCACGAAGATGCGCGCAAACGCGCACGTATTTTGCGCAATCGTAAGCGTTGGCGGCCTTTCAATAAGTCCGTGCGTCTTGGGAATATCCTTTTCGAGGATTCGGGTGTTCTGCGCTCCTCGGCCCAGCTCGCCGGCACCGAACTTGTTCGTTTCTGGGCGGCGCGCTTGCTGCTCGCGAACCCGACCGCGCGATTTGGAGCACACTTCGCCCGCGCACTCAGCGCGTAGATGCGTTGCTCCTTGACGCGGAGTGGCTTCTCACTCGCGAAGCAGTTGCAGAGCTTGCGCAGCGCACTGGGAATTCAATGCCTGGCATAGACGGCATGCCGCACAGTTGTTGGAAGCGCGGAGGAGCTCGGGATATACTGTCGTGGCATCTCACATCCTGGCGTTTCTCCCCCGTCCGACTTCCGCGAGATGCTCGTGGTCTTCCCAGCGAAGGGCGGCTATCCCTCCGATGGGTCGGCCGCTCCTGCTCGCAAGCCGTCCGCCGCTACTCGTCCACTCTCGATGGGGTGCACCGATGGCAAGCTGACCATTGCTGCCGCCGCTTGCCCTCTCACCAGAGTCGGTGCACAGTCAGCTCATAAGCTGCATTCTGGAGGTTCCAGGGAGACGAGCTTAGCAACGCAATTCACTGCGAAACCGATGGGGTTTTGGCCCGCCTGTCAGGGAAAGGTGACCTGGTCCAGCTGTTTACCGACTTCAAGGCTGCGCTGCCCAGTCGATGTGTGGAATGGGCTTCGCATGTCCTCAGGGAGATGGCCATTCCGTCATGGGCCGCGAAGTTCTTCAGAACTTCTATGCAGACAATACGGCGAGCGTCCGTTTCTGTGGCGTCTCCTTGGCGTCTTTCCGCATGGGTCGCGGGGTCCGCCAAGGGCGCCCCGCCTCCCTGCCCCTGTTCGCCCTCGCCCTGGACCCCGTCTGCAGGTGGCTTCTCGAGACGGGCCCCCCTGGGCCTGGACTCTCAGGCTACGCCGACGACTGACGGTTCCGCTCCGAGAACACGTTCACCGATGTGCTCCCCATGCTGGAACAGATCTACCTCCTCTCGACGGCGGTTGGGCTCGAACTGCAGTTTGGGAAATGCGTTGTTCTGGGAAGTTCTCGGAACTTGCGGGATTGTCTGAACTTTCTGGCGTCTACGGGGCGGGGACGTGAACGTTTCCAGGTTGTCCGGTGGCGCCGCGATCTTGGATGTTTGCTGGACCTGTGGCGCATCTCCACGGCTTCCCCGCTCAATGCGGCAAATACTTGTTTGTTGCCCCGTGTCTGTAGGACTCGCCGAGTGGAAGTGGGCTTGGCAGAACCGACCCTTGCCTCTAATGCGCGGGTCGTGGCCCGTTGGCGCGATGGCTTGCTTGCGAGGCGTGCAGGCCTGAGGGCCCCCCTGCGATCAATGGTCAGCCCCCATTCCTGGCGCGGCAGTGCCCCTGGCTTCGATGGGCCTTATTCAACCAAGAATGGTGCTGGTGGTGCGAGCTATGTCAACAGCATTGCGACGGAAAGGAGCATCTACTGGGGGAGAATCACCATTGGCAGAGCAGCAGGCAGTGGAACAACGGATGGCCCGACCCCAGGCATTACATTGCTCCAGGCAACCTCTGGAGCCTGACACGCGGCTCCGATTGGGACTCTGAGCGCCAGTGCAGAATCCCAAGACTGGATTGGCCAGGATGGAAGCCACTTGCACCCGTAACTACCAACGGGCGAGTCGCCCTCCCTGGCTGGTTCTTCCCGGAAGACTGGGACTGGGTCCCGGCCACGTTCCTTTGCAAGGCAAGGATGACCCCTTCGACTACGTCAGCCCCCCAGGCACTGTCCAATCCGTCCCCCCCAGCACACTCGGCGTGGGACATGGGCCCAGGGTAAAGCCGACAGCGTTGGTCCTGGCGACGGCGGCCGCGGGACGGCCTAACTGGGTTCCAAGACGGCCCAAGGGAGGACCCAAGAAAGCCCAAGAGGCCCTAAAGACGGCGGCCCCAAGACGGGTTCAAGAGGGGGACCATGAACCGAAAATCTTGTTTTCCGCAGCATGAGGCCCCCAGGAGGCTCCCAGGGCCCAGGGGCCCCAAGAAGACGCCAGAACGGGCCTGGGCAGGCTTCAGTGGGCACCCGAGGCCCCAGAGGTGTGCCCCGAGAGGCAGCTCTGAGATGTTTTGTTTTTTTACATTTTTCTGAGGCCCTCCACTTTCCGAGTTTCCGAGAATCCAAGACGGACCAACAGGCCCCGACACCGCCTCAGGACGGGCCAAGGCCTTAAAGAGGGCCCCGAGATGAGCTCAAGAGGGGGAACATGAACCAAAAAAACAAAATTTCCGTCCCAAGAAGCCCCCAGGAAGCCCCAAGAAGGCGCTAGGACGGCCCTGGGCAGGCTTCAGTGGGCGCCTGAGGCCCCAGACGAGTCCCTCGAGAAGCAACAATCTTTGAATTCTTGTGAGCTTTTCAATTTTGGGGGGATATCCACTTGTCGAGTTTGCGACAATCCAAGACGGCCCGAGAGGCTTCCAACACCGCTTCAAGATGGGCCAAGAGGCCCCCAGGAGGGCCCCGGGACGGACTAATAGGGCCCCATGGCGGCCCCAGGGGGTCCCCTCCCTCCTCCCCTCCCGTTTCTCGGGCAGCTTCCTTCCCCTCCCCCTCGGGTTTCTCCTCCGCCTCCTCTCCTGCAGCCGTGGCGCGCAGTGATCTCACACAAGATCTCAGTCGTCTCGTGGGAGCGCCCGCTGGAGCGACGACCCAGGGCCGACGCGAACGCCGCGGGCCGCGGGCCGGCGAAGAACCGCGGGCGCCCCTCGGCGGGGAACCGAGCTGCCCGCGCGATCTCGGCCTCAGCGCCAGCGCCAGCGCGGGGAGGGCAGCGCGCGAACACCCGCGAGTGCCCGCGAGTGCCCGCCAGCCCGGGGCGTGCGCAGAACGTGCGTGCGAAGAGACGGCGGCTCGGCCAGGGCAGATCGTAGAGCTTGCCTCGGCCAGGACAGGCAGCCGCAGGCAGGTGTGATCTTCCCTCTGCTGCAACCGAAACGGTCGAATGCCCCCTTTTCCTGCCTCTCCCCCTCCTCCCCCCCTCCTGCCCTTCGTCCATCACCCCCCTTGCCCCTCCCCACCCCCTCTTCCTCTTCCCCTTCATCCGCATCCGTCCCGTTCCCTCTCCTGCCGCCTCACCCCTTCTCCACCTGCCAAAGCCAGGCCCTGCAAGCACTTGGCGTTGTGCAGCCTCTGTGGCGCCCCGGAGCGCAACATCGCGAGGACGCCGCCGGGACGAGCCAGAGGGCTGATCGTCAGCAGGCAGTTAGCGGGGTTCAGCGCACACGGGGCTCAGCCAGAGCACCAAGTCCCGCATGTACTTGCAAAGGCATATTTCGGCTGAACCGGGGTTTGGGAGCCACTCGCGGCCTTGAAGGTGGCCTTACGTATTGATTGAGCTTGGGAAGATCCCAAGAAGTTACAGCGCAGCTTTTTATGCATAGATTGAGCCAGGCTTGCGCTGAGTCGGTCTAGTCCGCGCCAGAGTTTGTCGGAAATGAAATGACCCGTCTGAAATCGGCGCGACATGTAAGGCTTCGATCTTGTCTGAGTGCTCTGCGCAACATCCGCCTTGTCGAGAAGCCTCACGGACGCGTTCCTCCCTCGGGTGCCCCTCGTCGCCACGACTGGATTCGCTTCGGAATCCTGGCCAGATCGCGTCCAGGTAGAGGTCTGGGGAGTAGCGGGTGGTGTTCATATAGGAGAAGCGTCTTGGAATTTGTTCGCCAGTTTCGGGATCGCGTTGCTTATGCCCCGGGGCCGTTAAAACACGATTCGGGATGAAACGTTGGTTTTGGGCAGAGCCCCGGTGAACGAGATCCGCTGCCATCAGGACCCTTTTCCCATCGTGCCGACGACCTCCTTATCCCCCTCCTCCTTTCTTCTCATTTCTCTGGCCTCTCGAGAAGCCCTCGTCGTCGCGGCTGGACGCGGCCCGACAGGCTGGTCAAAGGGGCGCGCTCAGAACCAGCCACCTGCTCCAGGAAGGGTTCGCTGGCTGGTTCCAAGTGCAGTTTTTTACCGCTTCTGCGCAGGTTTCGTCCATTATGTCTGGGGGCGCGTGCGAACAAGGTGCGTAGGATGTGGCCGTGACGGGCCCCGTTTGCCTTGGTCCCACATAGTTGGCCCTTCGCGCGAGGCCGTGGAATAGGAGCGAAGAGTTGTTCATCATGTTCGGGCTCCTGTTGCCCTCCACGAATATTGTCGCCGTCGAGAAGTTATTATCAGGATGGAAGGTTGCCGAGGATGAGAAAGCCCCAGGGTCTCGGATCTGCTTGGAACCCCTGTCCGTCCTCCATCCATGCGAACCTCACCGTCCGCGTCGCCCCAGCTTGGACACCCTGAAGCGGACAAGCCTTTTCCAGCGTGGGTCGTTCGAGAGGGCATGCCACCGCTCAGCCTGGGGGTACGGAGGAACTTTTGAGGTAGCTTCTGTGGAGCCCACGAACTCCTGACCGCCGGCGCGCGAGACAGTCGCCTCCCAGACCATCTCCGGCGAGGCGCTGGGCGCATTGGGCGTGTCCCGATTTGTCGCCCTCGCTCGAGACAGCCTCGCAAAATCGCCCCACGGGCCCCTGGCGCACCCCCACGGGTCCCGACCTGGCGACCTCGCTCGAGACATCCTCACAAAATCACCCCACGGGCCCCAGCGCACCCCCAGGGACCATTTCCAGCGATGCACTGGGCGCACCTTGGCGTGCCCCGATGCGGCGCCCTCGCCCGAGACATCATCGCTCCACGAGCCCCCAGCCAGAGACCATTTCTCTAGGCCTCCTAGATTGGGTCTGGGTAGATGAGTCGGAGGATCGCGCTGCATCGTCGATGAATCGGCGATGCATCGGCGATGCATCAGCGATGCGGCTCGATGTGGGGCCCAATTTTCTCCACGCCGATGTCGCCAATGCATCGCCGACGTCGCCAGTGCATGGCCGATGATCGCAGATGCGGCGCGATCCTCCGACCCCATCTGCTCAGACCCCATCTGGGAGGCCTCTAATTTCCGGCGATGCGCCAGCAGCGCCGGGCGCACAGGGCTTGTCCCCATCCGGCGCCTTCGCTCGAGACATCCTCGCAAGATCGCCCCACGGGCCACCAGCGCGCCCCCAGGAACCACTTCTTGCGATGCGTGTCCCAATCTGGCGCACTCGCTCGAGACATCCTCACAAAACCGCCCCACGGGACCCCAGCGCACCCCCAGGGAGTATTTCTGGCCATGCGCTGGGCGCGCTGGGCGCACTAGGCAAGGACGAGAACGAAAACGAGAATTAGCACGAGGGCGAGCACGAGGAGGAGAAGGATGAGCAGGGAGGAAGACGCAGGAGGACGGAGGAGGGATGAAGGAGGCGGGAGGAGGAGGAGGAAGAGGAGGAGGAGGAAGAGGAGGAGGAGGAGGAGGAAGAAGAGGAGGAGGAAGAGGACGGATGACCTCCAGGGACCTCCAGCTCGCGAGTCTCACACTCCTAATCCTCACCCTCCTGATCCTCACCCGCCGCACCACCCCCGCCCGCTCATTCTCACCATCGTGGTCGAGCACAGGCGCACGCCCCTTGTTCTATGCACAGAAACTCCCGGTCCACTGCAGAGCGGCCAGCTAGTCAAGGAATGGGATCACGAGGGAAACGAGCCCTGGACCCCAGGATTTTCTCCAGGACCAGCTCTTCGTCCCCAGTCGTCTGGCGACGGTCCTGGGGCCCGTGGAGGGCCTCGGGGGGCCGAGAGTGGCGACAGAAACTCAGGACCCGTCGTCCTCCAGGGCCCGTGTCTATCGTGCCGAGGGGGTGGCGGGCGGCGACCTGGCGTGCCCGCCAGCTGCCCGATATGCCGGACCAGCTTGTCCGACCGGCTCCAGGCCCCGCCCCCCGCCCGCACCCTCCAGTCTTCGTCCTCTCTGCCCTGGGGAGGAGCCAGCCCGCCCGCGCCCGAGGACCAGGAGAGGACGAGGACGAGGAGGGGGGGGGAGGGGGCAAGGACGAGGACGAGGACGAGGAGAGGACGAGGCAAGGACGAGGGACGAGGGACGGGGACGAGGCAAGGACCAGGAGAGGACGAGGACGAGGACGAGGACGAGGGGGGCAAGGACGAGGACGAGGACGAGGAGAGGACGAGGCAAGGACGAGGGACGAGGGACGGGGACGAGGCAAGGACCAGGAGAGGACGAGGACGAGGACAAGGAGACGCGCTCGCGCCATGTCTGACATCCTACCCCTCTCACCCGTGCCTTCCCATGGCGTTGATTTGTCCCTATATCCACCGATGGGTGCCCTGGCGGACGTGGATCCCCAAAGTGGCCCCAATCGTGCGATGCGCAATCAGAAAGGGGGCCTGCCGTATATTGGAGGAGGAGGTGGCGGATGAGTCTGAACCTGATGATGAGCAGCAAGAGGAGGATGAGAAAGGCGGAGCAGGAGTAGGAGGAGCGGGAGAAGCACGAGGGCCAGGGGGAGGCGGAGGAGGGCACAGGAGGAGGGCGGCAACGGCAACGAAGCAACCGGATCCAGAAATTGAGCCCATGTTGGGACGAGAAAACCATTCTGAACGATCGGAGCAAAGAGCCGATCCTGAAATTAGGCTTATGCTGCAGCGGGAGCACCATATTGAGGAAACGCTCCGATCGGAAGAACACAATCGAAACATAAAGCATAAAATCGTGCATGCCCCACGAAAAAAAAACAGCACGCGGGAGAACCAGCGCCCGTTCGCACAGAATCTGGGGAGAGGGGGGAAGATTCATATTGATTGGATGTGGAGGGGGGAGTGGGGGGAGGGGGGAGGGGGAGTGAGAAGGGTGAGGAGGAGCGGGATGTGTGGAGCAGGGGGAGAAGAGAGGGGAAGGAGGAGGAGGTGGAGGAGGAGGAGGAGGAGGAGGCGGTGTATTCGGACGACTTCTGAAGGCCATTGGGAGGATTTTGGACGATCCCGCAGCCGCCGCCCGGCCCGGATCTGGCATAGGGGGCCCATGTTGGGTTTGCGGAGGCGCGGTGGTAGATGTTGTTTTTTCTCCCGATGTCATCTTCTCGCTTGTCCTCGTCGTCTCTCTCGTCGTCCTCCCCCTCTTCCTCGCCCCCCTCCTTTACCTTTATCCTACTCCTCCTCTTTCGTCCTGCTCCTGCTCTTTCTCCCGCTCACTCTCCCCCCTCAGTTTTCCTGCGCCCCGTCCCCCTTCCCTCCTCTTCCTTCTTCTCCCAGACCTTCTCCCTTCCCCCCCTTCCTCCTCCCCCTCCCCTCCCGCCCCTCTTCCCTGGTCTTCCCCCCGCTCCCCTCCTCTCTCCTGCTCCTCCCCCCGCACTCCTCTCCTTACCTCCTGCCTACGGGTTGCATTTCTGCTTCGATGTTCCCGCGTGGCGTCGGCCTCGGGTCCTCCCTCGTTCGTGGTCCCTCCGCGGTGGTCTTCCCCCTGGTCCTCGCTTCGTTTCGCTTTTGCGGGCCCTCGTTCGGTCCCCACTCGTCGCGTTGCGGTGTAGCGCAAGGGAGTTAGCGCTTGACTATATGACCCACGTCATCTGGGGGCCCTCAACGGGCCTCGGGACCGTCGACAAAACCACTCGGGGTGACAAGCCTGTCCAGTAGATAGGGGTCGAGACCCCGCGGGGTTCACGTTGTGAAGCGATCATGGCAGGGGAGGTCTGGGCCTCCCGCGAGAGAAATGTGAGCAGGTTCCTTCGGCGGCAAAGGTTCACCGTGCGCCCAGGCAGGACTCTGCCATCGCGTGCGCACGGCCTCGTTGAGCTCCATCATTGTTTCCAGGCGGTGCGTTGAAGCGTTGAAGAGAAGCTTCGTGCGCCTGTTCGCTGCTGTCTGCCCCATGTGCTGTTATCACATTCGGCCGATGGCGTTGCATCATCAATGTGTTGCCTTGTGTGGCTCGACAGCCTGGCAGCACATCCCGGCTCCCCAGCGCAGGTCTTCATGCCCTGACGGCACGGCGAGCTGCACCAGCAGGCTGCACAGCTGGCCCTTTTCACCGGAATGTCAGAGAGTCATATCTGCTTGTTTCCCGTCGAAGGGAGGTTGCTTTCTATATTTTCGAAAAGTGCCGCAGAAAGATGGAGTCGAGGGTTCCGGTCGTGAATTGTCGCGATATTGCACGGTTTCGCGACGTCGGACCTCAAGGTTAATTGTTTTTTGATTTTTTAGCAGTAACGGTCGAGACGCTTGGGCGCGAGCATCAGCATGTGAGGGGAAGTGCCCCCCCCCCACGTACGATCGCGTTTGTTGACCCAGGCCAGGGCCCCACCCCAACCCTGGATAACGATTGTTACCAGAAATAAGAATAAGAAGAAACATAAGCATAATAAGTAGTCAGGCGGTTGGGACAAGGGGATGAAGGTGAAGGTTTGCCATGCCATGCTCTGTCCCCTCCACGCAGTTGGAGACGTTCACGCCTTCGTTATTCCTCCTCCTCCTCCTCCTCCTCCTCCTCCTCTTCCTCCTCCTCCTCCCTCCTCTTCCCTCCTCCTCCTCCTCCTCCTCCGCCTCCTCCTCCTCCTCCTCCTCCTCCTCCTCGTCCTCCTCCTCCTCCTCCTCCTCCTCCTCTCCTCCTCCTCCTCCTCCTCCTCCTCCTCCTCCTCCTCCTCCTCCTCCTCCTCCTCCTCCTCCTCCTCCTCCTCCTCCTCCTCCTCCCCCCTCCTCCTCCTCCTCCCCCTCCACCTCCACGTCCTAGTTGGCTTGGCGCCCCCGCGGCCCCGCCCCCCCGCAGCCGTTTTGCCTGCGGGCGGGCGCCGCGCTCCCGAGCCATACCCCCCCCGCCAGCGGCCCGCCTTCCGCGGGCGCCCGATGCCACTGGAGCTGGAGCGGTCCCGCTCCCCCGCGTGGCATTGCCGCGCGCGGCGCTTCCGTGCGCGCGCGAGGGTCACGCTCCGCTGTGCTGCCGCGCGGAAGCGGTTCGCTGGGCATCACGGCGATCGGCCCAGCGACGCCGACGGCCGCATGGCCCAGCCGCTGCCGAGGCAAGCCGCGTCTGGCTTCAGGGCAGGGCCCCGTGTGGGACTGCACCGCCACGCGGCTGCGCGGCTTTCGCTAAAATTTCGTTTCGAGGGAGACGTGCTGGAAGTGCGGCCGCGATCGTGCAGGACGCATGCGGCGGGAGGCCGCCTCTGCGCCGGCTGGCGAGCGCTCGGCATCCGCTGGCCGCCGCCGGCGTTCAGGCCCTCCTGCTGGTGGCCGCGTTCCCCCTCCCGGTGATGCTGCTACAGGCGAGCCCGTCAGCCCCGCCGTGGCCCACGCTCGCCAGGGGCTCCTGGCCTTGCAGCAGCTCAAGCACGACGACGAGCACCCCATCATCGTGGCGGCCAAGCGCGACCCGGATGCCTTGGAGGCCAAAGAGCGGCGCGCCCAGCCGCCCGAGCGCCTCCTCTTCTGCAGAAGCGCCTCGACGAGGCCAAAGGCAGCGCTGGTCAGGTGGCTGCCTCCCTGGCCGAGGCTCTGGCCACGGGACCGCCTCCGCCAGCAGCAGGCCGACTGCGCCGCGGAGGTCGCCATGCTGGAGGCCGAGGTCGTGGCTGCCCAGCGCGCGGTCGCCGCCTCAGCCGCAGGGAGCAGCGGGGTCGACATGGCCAATCTCGCCTCCACGCTGGTCGGCCTCCAGGCCATCCTCAGCGCTGCCCCCGCGCGCGTCGCCAGCGGCCACGGCGTGGACGTCCTGGAGGCCATCAACAGCCAGGCGCTGGCCATGGGCGCGGCCTTTCCAGCGGCCAGCGCCTTGCAGGCCAGCGCCCCCCTCGTGGCCGCCCCTGCGGCCACTGGGCCCTCCCCCGCCACCGCTGCGGGCGGGCCGCAACCGCCTGCGCCAGCTGCCGCGGCGCCCGCGCCTAGTGCTGACCCGCCTGCCCCAGATGCTGCTGGAGGCGCCCGCGGGGCCATTGCCCCCGCCGCCGCGCCTGGAGCCTTTTCCCCTGCGACCCCCGGCTCGGTCGCCGCCGCCTTTCGCGCTGGCGGGGGAACCGCCGCAACGGCATGGGAGGGCGGCGGGCGCGGGCGACTCCGGACTGGAGGGCGAGGCCGTCGGGGCGGCGCGCGGCGGAGCGCTGGCCCGGTCACTTTCAACATATCGTCGTGGAACACGCGCCGCAGCTTCCTGGGGCGCAGCGACCGGCATGTCCTCGCGGTGGCGGCCTAGGAGCTCCGCGTGGACGGCGACGAGCTCCGTCGCGCGCAGGGTCGGGCTGCGCGGGCAGGCTGGCACGCGGCGCCGTCGCCTTGCAGGCGGCTCGGCTCGGGCATGCTTTCTGTCGGCGTGGGCATCTTCGCCCGACGGCGCATCAGCGCGGCCATCGTGCCCGGGCGAGGCAGCTGCGATGCGTCGCCGAGTTTCGCGGTGGCTTGTCACGCGGACTTCGGCATCAAAGGTGGCTTGATCTTGGCGTCGGCGCACTTCGAGGTGGACCAGTGGGCCGCCGGCGCCAATGCCTCCAGGCTTTTCGATATTTCGACGGCGCTTCGTGGATGGAACAGGCCCTTCGCGATGGCCGGCGACATCAATCGCGACCCGCCTCGTCTGGGCGAGGGCGGATCCTGGAACTCATTCCTGCAAGGACCGCGGCAAGGCCCTGCAGCGGGCTGAACGTGGGCGCGCGTCTCAGTGCCCAGGGGAACTACTCCAACATCGACTTCTTGGCTGGCTGGCCTGTCCATCTCGTGCTCGCCGTCGCTGCAACGCCCCGCGCGCGGCCGACCCGCGGCCCCGCGCTTCCCGACGGCGACGCACCTGGACGCGCGCGCCAAGGCGGTCGAATTCCCGATGCTGGTCGGGCCCAAGGCCTTCCTGAAGACGCCCCGTGAGGACGAGGCGGCGGCGGCTCGTGGCGCGGGCCAGCAGCAGGTCATCGAGAGCGACATCGCCTTGGACGGTGAGGCCCCGGCGTACCAGGCGCAGGCGCGGCTCGTCGGTCTCCACTCGGCGTTCACGCGCGCTGCCGGGAAGAAGCCCATCGCCCGCCGCGTCATCGCCGAGGCCGACGCCGACCGCATCCGTGGCAGAGCGGGCAAGGTCGCCCACCGCTGGCGCCAGGCCGGGGGCGCCCCGCCGCCGCTCGGCCCGCGGCGCCCCCTGGCGCCAGGCTCGCCAGGCGCCTCGCCCATGCTGCTGACGATGCACTTCGGGCTGAGCTGCAGCCGCTGCTGCTACTTCGGCGCTTGGACAGACTCGTCTCTCCAGGCGCCGAAAAGGTATTTTCATTTGCAGAAGTGTCGCCAGGCGGTCCAGCTGATGCGAGGCCTCCTGCCCACGGTGCGCACCCTGCTGGAGTTCGACGCGCGGGACTTCAATGCTTGGCTTGAGCACCAGTTGGGGGTGGTAGCCGATCTGGTGCCAGACCCGCGGCCATACGCCTACTCGCCTGGCTGCTGCCCGCGGGTGGACCTGGTGGACTTGCGGGAGGCGGCCATCGACGTCGCCCGCGTCGCCGTCGCCTGGCCGCAGTCCTTCGCCCAGGCGCTGGAGGACAAGGCCGTGGCTGGGAGACGCCGCACCTTTGCGCAGCGGGCCAATAAGTGCCACGACAAGCGCACGAAGCTGCTCATCAGCTTCACCAGGCCCCCTGGCGCCGCACCCCCCCAAGTGCTGCGCCATGGCCGCCCCTCCACCCTGCGCGTGGCCCTGCATCCGGCACGCGCAGGCCGCCCCCGACATGCCTACGCTGGAGTCCGTGGAGGGGACTGGCGTTGGCGACGACTGTTTTGGCATGCGGCGCATAAGTGATTGCGATTGCACGGCTGATGTCAGGGAGGATGCCCGTCGGCCCCCGAAGGCCTCGCTTCCTGTGCCGAAGGTGGGCCCGGTCAGGGCTGCTGCCAGAACCTTCAAGCGGCACGCTGGACAAGGAGCTGATCGCCTGTCCCCTCGCGCCATCAGTCTGCTCACGGCCGACGCCATCGCGCTCCTGGTGTACTTCCCGTGGCTGATCGAGCACTGGGAGCGGTGGCCGACGCAGGTAATGGCCGCCCACATCGCGTTGTTGGCCATGCCGAAGGGTGGTCGGTGGCCCATCGCGCTTCTGCAGGCGACCTACCGCGTCTGGTCGCAGGCGCGAGCGCAGCAGTTGCGGGCATGGTCCGCGGAGCAGAACAGGCCCTACTTCGCGCTGGCGGCGGGCGAGACCACGCTGGACGTGGCAGCTCGGACCCTGCCGCGGGTCGAGGCGTCGCTCGCGTCCGACGGCGTCGTCACCGCGATCGGGGACATCGAGGAGTGCTTTGGCCACATCTGCCGGCGTCGATTGGTGGCCGCCGCGGCCAAGCATGGCTTCCCGAGGCAGCGGCTCTCCGCTGCCCCGGTCACGCACCGCTCCCCGAGGCGGCCGGCGCCTGGCCCCACGGCGTCGCGCGCGCAAGGTGGCCAGGCGTCCCAGGCACTTCTGGCGGCTGAGCACGCTCGGTGGCAAGTTCAGGAAGGTTGCGCGCGCGACCTTGGGCCCGGCTTGGGCGTCGTCGGAGCTGCCCCGCACGTCGTCAAGCGCATGACCTCTCTGGCGAAGCAACGGTGGCAGGCCAGTCCACTTGGATGCTCGCATTAGGTTGTTTCGACAGTTGGATCCTGCCCCTGACCACCAGCCCGCCACCATCGCCATCGTCGGCCCCATCCACAGCTGGGTGGTCATGACACATGCTGGCGACGTGGAATTTGCTAAGTTGTAGTTGGCATGGAGGACACAGTTGTTCTCTAATTGCTTGGATGCACGTGGATAACAGCTGGAAGTACGTTCGTGGCCCTACGGGCGCATTTGCTCGCTCGTCGCTCACGCCGGGGCGGAAGCGCCCCTCTGCCTTCAATGTGCGCACGCATGGCGAGGTTTTGGACCCGAGGGATGCGGTTCCAGCGCTAGTGAAGTGGACCGCGCTCAAGGGCTACGAGACGCACGGCTGGCTGCAGTGGCCGCAGAGGCCCGACGTCATGCCTGCGATCCCTGGCCCGTCACACAAGGATCCTTCAGGCGCTTGGCTGGCACCGATCGCAGGCACACAGCATCTTGGCCCCAAGGCCAAGCGCTGGATGCTTGATCCTGCGGCGAGGGCAGCGTTGCGGACAGCAGTACATGGTCGCCGTTTCTAGCAAAACAAGGTCGCATCAGTATACTTACGCCGAGGACGAGGATTGCCGGAACTGCCCTGGCGTGCGCGGCACGCTGTATCACAGGTACTGGGCGCGTCCGATGTTCGATGATTTGCGGGGGCACGCGGTGGCGGGTGCCAGTTTGACCGCTGCCCGCGGCACGGTTCCTGCTGATGTGTTGTGTTCTCGCGGGTTGTTCCCCAACTCGTTATTGCCAGCCCTTCCCCTTCGGACGGCTCTTGCAAGAAGCTTCTGCGCTGGGGCGCGGCCGACCGCGCTGGTTGGGGGTTCGTGGTGGCGGGGGATGGCAGGTACTCTGGCGCCGCTGCTGGGCCTCTCCCAGGACCTCGCCAAACCTCAGGACGCGCTGAGCTGCGCGCAGCGCTGCAGGCCTTGACGACGGGAGGGCTCCATTACATTTTTTCTACCGACTACACGCCGCTTCTGGAGGGCTTCCAGCGAGTACGACGTCGGTGCGCTTCTCCTCGGCGTGAGTATGCGGACCTTTGGAGTACGGATGTCGATGGGCATGGCGGCGCGACCTTGGATGGCGACGCGGCGCCGATACTCTAGAGACGACACTTGGGAGCGGAGGTGCAACGACCTGGCGGATATGGCGGCCAAGCGGGGACGGCGCATCCACGACTTCACTCGGGCCGCCGCGGAGAGCCACAGCGACGCCTTGAGTCATGCGCGCCAGGCTGCGGCCTGGATCGGCACAGCCTCTCGCGTAGTCTTCGACGGCGCCGTGCCGCCCGGCCGCGACCGCGCGCCGCGGCGCCGCGCGGGCCCCCTGCGCCGCCGTTGGTAGCCGCAGCGGGCGGGACGGCGCGACGCTCCACGCGCCGGCGCCCCAGCGCAAGCGCCGCGGCCTGACTGCGAGGCCCCCGCCGCCCCGCACCGCGCGCGGCGCAGCGGCCAGAAGTGGTCTTGCGATCGTTGCTCCGCTTTCGCGGTCTCCGCCAGAGGTGCTACGGGGCCCAAGGGCAGGGTTGCCGGGGCGGCGGCCCTCTGGGGCTTGGAGGGCGTTTCGCCTGAGGCTTCCCTCGCGGCGTCTGGATCCGATGATGCGGGCGTTCCGGCGGCGCCCATGGGAGCCGAGGGCCCTTCCGAGGCCAGCGCGGCGGCTTGCCGCGTCGAGGCCGCCGCCAACGAGGAGGAGCCGCCGCCCTTGGCAAACGAGGGCCTCGAGCGGTCTCTGGCGTTCAAGCGGGCGCGGTTCAGAATGGAGGAGGGGCACTGGGACGCGGACCTCGAGGAGGCGGCGGGCAGGCCGGCCCAGGCCGCTCGCCCCCGAGGCCCCGAAGAGCCCGCGCCCCCCCCCCCCCCCCCCGCCCCCCATTCGCGTACCGGGACGGGGGGGGCGCCATCGAGGATTGGTCCTCTGGTGGGCCGCGCCCGAATGCCCCGGCCCTTGTGGGCCTCCGCCCTGCAAGAGGGCTCGGACCTCGGGGGGTCCGCGGCGGGGGGGGTCCTGGGCCGCGCGTGGTGCCGTCCTCCTTGAAGTCCCCTCCCCGCTCAAGGCCCTGCAGGGCCTAATAGCGCTCGGGGGCATCAGATCCGCCTTGCTGGAGCCACTAATGCATTTTGTTTTTTTCGGTGCGGCGCGCTGGCCCAACCGACGGCCTCGCGCTCGCGGCTCTGGGACCAATGCGAGGGCAGTGCGCCCAGTAAGGATTCCATGTGTCTTAAGTCCTTCGGGGCGGGTAAGGACCCCAAATCGAGGGAGTGGAGGGGGGATCCTCGTCCATTTCTTTCTACGGACGATGCCTGCTGTTGGCTTCGTCTTAGATAGTTCGCTTCGTCGGGTTATGTTCCGTTCCCGTCGAGTTGCGCGTGCTCGTCCTTGTCCTGCTCGTTCTCTGTCTGTGCTGCTGCTCTGCGCACTCGTTTCGGTTTGGTGTTGGCATCCTCCTCATCCTCCTCCTCTGCCTTTTCCTCCTCCTCCCCCTCCTCCTGCTCCTCCTCCTCCTCCTTCTCATTGCGTCGCCTCGTCCTCATCCTGCCGATCCTTGTGTTTACCAACTCGATGTTCCCTCTGCTAGTCAGCGAATGCAGCCTCTTCTCGTCGCCCTCGGAGAAGCAGGCGAGCCAACATGGCTCGCGGCCGACACTCGGCCCCCCACTCGGGAGCGGGGCGCATGGGCCGCGCGGGCGTGGACGGAGGTTCAGAAGGGAGGCGGGAGGAGGAGGAGGAGGCGGGAGGAGGAGGAGGAGGAGGAGAATGGTGTCGAAGAGTAAAGAGAAAAAACATAAGCAGACACTGTCGGAGCTCCGCGCTGATTTCTCGGATCTGCGCTGGGCCCCCTGGCTGCGCTTCCGGCGCCGCCCCTGGCGCACCCCGCGCGCCAAGGAAAGGGGTCTGGTGCCGATCCAAGAATCCGCGCGGACCGTCGAAAAGATATGTTTGTGCAACGGCTTCTTTCTCGAGTGGGAGCAGGACAAACTAGGTGCGCTCGCGCCACATCTGCCATCCGACCCCTCCCTCCTCCGAGGAAGCGCACACATGGATCAGCGACGCGCGAATTGGCAACGGGCGCCGCGTCCATGCAGGATCTGCGCGCGCCGTCGCCACATGAGGCGGTGCTCGCCTCACGCTTGGGCGGCGCATTCCCCAATTCATGAATCTGTCAGGAGGGGATACAAGCACACAGGCACAATTCATCGTCCATCCTCAGATCCCAAGGGAAATTCGAAAATATGGGAAGTGGGGGGGGAAAACGAAAATCCATATTGAAAAAAAGAAATTATCCCAGCGCGACCCTACCTAGGAGTTGGAACCCCTAGGAAAGCAGCATTAGTGGTAATAGTAACGCTAAGCTAAAGCTAAGCTAAAGCTAAGCTAAAGCTAAGCCACAGCTAAGCTAAAGTTAAGCTAACGCTAAGCTAAAGCTAAGCTAAAGATAAGCTAAAGCTAAGCTAAAGCTAAGCTAAAGCTGAGCAACAGCTAAGCTAAAGCTAAGCTAAAGCTAAGATAAAGCTAAGCTAAAGCTAAGCCACAGCTAAGCTCAAGCTAAGCTAAAGCTAAGCTAAACGCCAAGCGAAAAGCTAAGCGAAACGTTAAGCGAAAAGCTAAGCTACAGCTAAGCTAAAGCTAAGCTAAAGCTAAAGCTAAAGCTAAAGCTCCCAGGGGACTGGGGAGAACCGCTCCCAGGGGACTGGGGGAACCGCCCGGGGCGCTTTCCACTGCCCGGCCCCTTTAAGCTAGAGAGTAAGAACTTTTCTAGGCAGAGCCTAGGTAGGGAAATATGGGGAATAGTTGTATTTGTGTGTATTTATTTGTGTGTCCCTGGGCCCCTTCAATCTGGTGCCAACGCGCCAGATCCATGGATCGCTAGTCCATGTTAGGGTGCGCCTGACTCCCATCCCTTCCCATTGCGCTGATCATTCTCTCTGCCCGCCAACGGGTGACCTGGAACACCCAACACTGCAGCGAGGGCGCCATGTTGGACGGACCGTGAAAGTGCGGATTTGAGACATCGCATGAGGAAACACAATTCTGACCCATCCCGCGTGTGAAAAACAGTGCGCGGAGAGGGGGCGTGCCGCTATCAGAACGTCTTCGTCGGAGAGAAGATAGTAGTAGGAATGCGGTGTACGTGTGGGGGAGGACGAGGAGGGGGCGGGGAGACGGTGAGAAGGAAGAACAGAACGGGGGGGAAGAGGAGAGGATCGGCGTCGCACAGAAGGGGATGGCGCGACGGGGGCGATCTTCTGAGAAGCAAGGGGGAGCTGTCATATGCAGGCGGTGTGTGAGAATCCCTCCCATCTTCAAACCTTCTGGGCCCGCCCGAGGATGCCATTGTCTTTTAAGGAGCCCCCCTTCCTCCTTGGAAGGGCGAGGCTGTAAGGGGTAGAGAGGGGGTGAGGAGAAGACGTCTGGGACACGTCGTCGGAGCATAACCTGCCGGTGCGTCGCCCTTCGCGTAGACTGGAGCGGCAGTGATCCATCAGACGCGCCGAAGCTTGCATTTCGAGCCCACGAGTATTTACATGTGTACAGCCTGTGGAAGCGTAGGCCGAGGACTGCTCAAGGATCTTCTCGAGCCTTGCGCAAGTGCGTGAGGACCAAAGTGGGGGGAAAGGGAGAACGAGAAAGAGGGATATGACGAGTCGGAGGAGGACGAGGAGGAACAGGAGAAGGAGGAGGAGGAGGAGGACCCACCAGAACCTACCAAAAGTTGGTACGCGGACACATCCAGTAACCCTCCCTCCTCCCACCTCCGTCCCTCCCTCTGTCCCGTCTCCATCTCCATCCCCTCCCTCCCAGTTCACCCTCAAGGGGCGGGAAGAGAATCACGCATCGCGGTCTGGGTCGGATATGTGTCTTTCACAGGAGGGGTCGGCGCAAGAGCGCGACGACGACCGTGTGCCGCGGAGCGCGGAGAACGAAGTGATGCGGCCCAGCGTCTTCACTCATCTGAGCTTGCGAGAGGGGGGGGGGGGGCGCGCAGGAGATGGCTGCACCTCGCATCAGAAACCGGAATGGTGGCGACGTGGGTCGCCAGACGTGGAGAAGCGGCGAATGCTCGCCTTCGGCCCGCACTCGGCAACTGCGCGAGAGCGTCCCGCCCGCCGACAGTTGCCTGCCCTCGATGCGTGATACCCGATCCCAAACCAAACCTCCAAGTCGGTGTTAGAGGTCGCCGCGGCAATCGCGGCGGCCGCAATTCGGGGCAAGGTGCTTTGTCAAGGAATCGCATGTAGACGTGGCCATATGTAACCACATGCGGACAGAGAGTTGTCAATGTATGGCCAACATGGACAATCATGTTTCTTGGCCAGGGGTCGATTATCACGCAACCATGCCCGCAGGGGTGGAGAGCGGCGTATGCATCTCATGGGTCTGCGCCACTCGTACGCGGGAGTTTTTGTGTTCTCGTAGTTTATTGGGCAAGCAGCGCCGTTTGACTTTCAAGCCCATTCTTTGTGAAAGAAGGGGGTGCGAGCGTCGAGGCATACGGCTCAATTGGAAACCCGGCGCAGATTGATCTATGTGTTTGCAGATGGATCGATATGTGTTGCCTCGTTGGTGCACGCCGCCACTCGCTTGCTGCTAATGTTCTGGAATGCCCGAGTGCTTGAGACATCAGTGCAACCGTTCGGCCGTATATAGCACATTGGCCCCGCAGCAGCAGACAGTTGCCAAGCTGGATGGAAAAAGGATGCTGAGTCATAGGGTACCTTCATGCTCGTGGCCTTCCTCGCATGCTTCAGTAGATTTGGGTTGCAAGGTGTGGGGATTCAGGTGTTCCATTGTACCGTAGACGCCTACAGCGAATCACCGCCGCCCCCTGCCGTTTGGAAACGCCCATGCGGCCAAACGTTGAGCCGAAGTTTGACGAATTTGTTGGACTACGTGTTCCCCCAGCCGTTGTGGAATTCCTTGGGGGAACATTGGGGAAAGGAAGAGAAAGGAGTTGGATGAGGAGGAGGAAGAAGACCAGCGTAAACCCAAGACCCATTAACAACGTTGTAATAAACCCTCCCCCCAAGCTCCCTCTTCATAGGCCCCTACAAAGGTTCATTTCCACTGAAGGAAGTGCCCCGTTGGGAAACAACTATCTGCAGGTCCTCAAGCGTGCCAAAACAGCATTCTCGGGACATCAACGCCACGACTGAACCTGACTGTTGCATCTTGACGATCCGCTGTTGGAGCGTTAGCCATGGGAATCCTTGACATTATTGCAAATGTTTAAGACGAGTGCGCGCGGCGCTAAGGCGAGAGTCACATGGTGAAAAGGAACCGCTCATGTGCGCAGGGCTAAGGCGAGAGCCACATTTTGAAAACGGCCCGCTCTCAGCCCGTGAAGATCAATTTTTTGGAACGGATATACGCGGCGCGAAGGCGAGAGCCACATGTTGAAAACCACCCGCTCTCAATCTGCGAAAACCTTACAATTTGTAAAGGCGAATGCGCGCGGCGCTAAGGCGAGAGCCACATCTTGAAAACGACCCGCTCTCAATCCGTGAACGTTGGTCATGTTTAAGACGACTGCGCGCAGCGCTTAGGCGAGAGTCACATGTTGAAAACCACCCGCCCTCAATCCGTAAAATTGTTGCCAATGCTTAAGCGCCTGGGCCACAATTTGCTTAAGCGCCTGGGCCACATGCGAAACGCCCGGCCCGCCCTTTCGACCGGCCTCGGGGGGCGACAGGGAGAAGCTATTCATAAGGAAAAGGATTGGAGGCCTCTTGAGGCTATCGTGGGGTCTCCTGGGCGCTTCCTCCCGACGCGTGTTTCGCCATGCGTTGCGTGGTGGTGGCCAGCGTGGCTTCACATGCATTGGTTACAGTGGGGGCGCTCATCAAGAAACCATATGCTTTGCGTGTTTCTTCGCTCCTCGCACTGCGCGGTGACATCCCGCAGCCGTTGAAGGAGCTACTGCGTTCAGGGTGCTCCAGGTTTCCCCTCAGGTGCACCTCGCGCACGGGTTCTCAGGGTTGGGTTTCTTGCGAGGGTTTCTTGCGGCCGCGCCCGCACTGTACGCATTGACTGCCACATTCGAGCGAGAACCGGCAGCACCCGCAAGTCCCGCATGCTTGAAGCATATCTTGGTAATTGTGTTGCCCTCTCGTCTTTGTATAGAGCGCCCAAGAAACGTACCCTATTTGTGTGCGATTATCTTGATGTTGAGTCATTCATTGTAGTGTGCAAGAGGTGCGGCCACGACTCTGAGAGTAAATTGGAAGGGCTCCGAGGCGAATGTAAGGGAAAGTTTCCAAAGTAAGTTTCCCTGGAATGCGTGGGCGCTACTTTCGGGCGGCCGTCACCCAACAGCAATTTGAAGGCCGCTCCACGACTTTCCCAGCCAATCCCAAGGAGCCGAGAGGCAGGCCGAAGAGAGCGTCAGTGGAGATCGGATGTGACCCCAAGGCTTCGGTTAAAGGTCGGGTCGGCCTGACCTCAACCTCCCCTCATAGCCTGTGATGGTCCTCTTCCTCCCCCTCATCATCATTTTTATCATCTCTCGGCTCTGCTTAGCAGAGGCTTTTCGGCATTCGTCGCCCGCTTTTTTCGGCGCGCTTCGGATGTTCTTTTGGCGCCCGATGCAGTGGCCCCGAGGGGGGGGGGCGAAGGTTTCATGTTTTTTCCCCCCCCGTCATCATCTCCACGATTCGCCAGCTCAAGGGCTCACCTGAAAACCAGGAAGCGGTGAAGCAAGGGTGAAACGGAGGACACGCTAAGCAGCGCCCAAGGAGGAGGAGGAGGATGAGGAGGAGGAGGAGGAGGGGAGGGTTACACCACCTCCAGCTCGTCAAGCGGAGGTGGTGTTTCCAAAGGGAGCTCTGGGAGATCACCGTGCTCGTTGAGCACAGCGAGGGCCACTGCATTCTGCAAGGCCAACCCGAGCAAACCCCACCAGCGATGCATCAAGCCTAAAGTGAATCCACGTTGAGCCCGTTGTCGCGCGAGGGCTGGTATAAGGTAGAAGGTTTCATGTCCGATGACAACGACAAGTGTAAGCACTTCCAGCCAAAAGTTCGCGCAGGACCCTTTCACAGATGCCATCTGCACGCTCAAATCAGAACATGTTGGCTGCTTCATTTGAAAGTCCACTCCACGGCGGGTTGCCTGTCCTCTTCCGACTCCGGTTCCAAAGGGCCCCCGAGCTTCCGATGCCTGATCCGCGCCCCGCGATCATACTGCAATTCCGACTCCGGTTGTCGCTTGCTCTGTCTTGGCCCCGCTTCTAATATTTCGTTTCCGTTGGGTTCGACCCAGGCGAACCCGGATTCTCCGATTCCGGCTTCCGATTCCGGCTCGGCTTCGTTTCTAGTGATGACGGTTGGGAAAGAGAACGGCGCGAGGGAGGCCAATTGTTTTTGCATTGCCACATTAAAATCTGCGCCACACAGGCTGGCAAGAGATCTCAACAAAGAATGTACGATTTCGCGGGGTTGAATATTCCAGAGATGGTCGCGCGCATGGAGTCATCGATGGTTTTCAGGACCGCGCCAGGCCACTGATTCCAAGCAGCAGGCGATAATGGTGTCTTCCAACAACGGAGACTGGCTGACCAAATGCATGTGGACAGGGACGACACAGATATGGTTTCTACAATTGCGGTCGCACGTATAATACTACGCCATACAATACACTCTTGTACAGATTGGGCCCAGCTACGGCAAACGGATTGGTGAGGCCATTCATCCAGGGCCCGATTGTTTTGAAGAACCTGCGTTGCAAACATGACGTCGATTAGGGTTACTAAGTATTTCTAGGCCTCACAACTCACACAAATTGCCCTCGGCATCAAACGATTTTGGACAGCTCCCAGCTTCAGGACGACGACGCAAATAATGCGAACCGTTGCAGCATAGTCAACCGGCCCCGATTTCAGCGCCCGTTCCGACTATTTTCTCTTTTCGGGATCCTGGAAAAGGGGGTCAGAGCAAACGGGGGTCAGCCAGAGCACCCGATCTTTGCAGGATCTTGCAGGGCCAGAGTCACATTGACCCGGGCTTGGGCGCAGGATACTGCAGGATACTGCAGGATCCTTCGCGTTTGCCCAGGCTTGGGCGCAGGATTTTTCAGGATTTTGCATGGCCTGACTGACCAGGGTTTGGATTGACCCAGGTCAGAAGATCTTTGATTTTTCGCGTATCCTATTCCCTTCCCAAAAGTGCCATCCGAATTCTTTTCCCCAGGCTGCGAAGAGTACGAAACACCTTTGGTTCCACCGCGCGCCTTACATGGCCGCCAGCAGAAAGATCCCACGAAAGTTGTGTTTCTGCTCTCTAGTTGCTCGGAACCCTGCGGGCTGGGTCGGCAATGGGCAACGGCAATGAAGTTTCAACAATTCGCCGTCCGAGTCTGATTCTAGCACCCCCAGACTATGCATTACGCATTTGCTACTCTCATCGTTGGCCACCCAGCTCCCCACCAACGAAGAAAACAGCGGCAATACTCGATGAGTATTGCCACCTGACGAGAAATTTGACAATGATGCAATCCCGTAAGTTGCGCGACAAACAATGCTGCAATTTTGGATTGTCAATGCGACTCCAACATGCGAGTCGTTCGACCTACATCGTGAGATTGATACACGAATTCCTACCTGAGACTGGTCCGGCGGTG